TAAATTATTATTTAATAGTAATTTAAGTTTTTATACCCACCATCAAAAAAGATGGGGGGTATATTGATTTTGTCATTCCGTTTGTAACACATCGAAATATTGGTCATAGACCCACAAAAGTATATATATTCTGGGTCGTCATTAAATTCTAAGACGATCTAGCCATGTCTGTCCGTCTGTCTGTCTGTCTGTTGAAAGCACGATATGGAATGGAAAGAGCTAGAGGATTGAAATTTCACATAAATATTTCTTATAGGTAAGGTTTGTTTGGTATTGAAAATGGGCAATATCGGTCCACGTTTTCGGATAGCCCCCCATACAAGTGGCCCCTCGTAAAGCAGCTTTAACATAGTGATCCAAAATCACTATGCAAAATTTTATGAGGATCGGTCCATAATTGACCCTACCCCCCATATAAGTTCCCCTTCAAAAAATGACTTTAATGCTCATTACTGGCTTAAAAATACTAGTATATAGATGAAATTCGACATAAGTTAGTTCCATACGAGTCAAAATCTATCTAAAAAATTGTATGAGGATCGGTCCATGATTGACCCCACCCCCCATATAAGGTCCCCTTCAGAAAATGACTGCAACGCTCATTAATGGCTTAAAAATACGAGTGTTGCGATGAAATTCGACACAAATAAACTTAATACGAACCAAATTCTGTCAACCAAATTTTATGAGGATCGACCCAAAATTGACCCTATCCCCCTATATAAGGTCCACTTCAGAAAATTACTTTAACGCTTATAACTGGCCTAAAAATACGAGTATATAGATGAAATTCGACATAAGTAAGTTTCATTCGAGTCAAACGAGGTTTGATGGTGGGTATATAAGATTCGGCATAGCCGAATATAACACTCTTACTTGTTTTTTTTATTTTAACTCCGAAATATTTTAACAATTTGAGAAAAGAGATTTTCAAAAAAAAGAGGGGTCCTATAGGGGCAAGGGTAAATATGGACTTATTCTTATACATTTTGGTAGAGGGATCTACGTTAACATTAAAGTATTTGTGCAGAATTTCATCGTGATACTAGTGTTTATAAGTGAATTTTGAACTTAAAGTCATTCCCACTATAGTGGTGTAGGGTATAATAAAATATATCAAATACATTTTAATTGTCACTGTAATATATTCCAATATTCGCATGCTCAAACATTTAGCATTGATCTTGGCATTTCGTTAAATTATTTAATAGAATATTTCCACGTATATTGTATAATACATTTGCCTAAGTATATGTATGTACATATTTGTATGTATATATATAAGAGTAAAATGTTTGTATTTTAGTAGTCGTGATTTTTATTAATAAATTATAAAAGATAATATTTATTTATACTTTTTCTTGACGTGGCACTTGCTTTTTCTTGTTATAAAACATAAAACTGACCATTTAAAATGTTGACCTATATCTATAGTTTAAAATATATACATAGGAAAAGGAATATTTATTTTTAAAACTATTTTCATTTCGTTTATAATTTGTTTCAATAACACTGGTCTGCAATGAAATTCTCCTTTGAAAAAATATTTTATAGAATTGACACGCTGAGTCTACACCAAGGCGCGCCGTGTTCGATTCCATCACATTACGTCACAATTCTTAGTAATTCAGTATTATTCTTAACCCTTAAGGGTTTAGTTCGTTCCCTTAAGGGTTAAGAATAATCCTACAATTTCTTTCAAGTAATATTTTTAATAAACTCTTAATAGTTTCGTACTTACAATATTCGAAAGAAAAAGATTCCAAACTATTAAGATCTATTTATCTATATATATAAAATTCTAACGTTACTGGCTGACTGACTGATTCATCATCCACTAAGACGGAAATTCGAATGATTAGGGGGTAATATAGGGTAAAACGGGTAAATTCGGTAACCTCATATCTCCTTAACTAGAAAAGATATTAAAACAGTTTAAAGCTTATCATCGTTCATTTAAAAAATAAGCGGTGGCTGGTACTTTCGGTCCATTTAGGGAATAAACGGGTAAAAACTTTATTTTAGTACTCTTTTGCACCCCAAGTATCTTTTAAAACAGTGAACATTCAAATAATATTTTTGACTCCTTCATACCTTAACGGAAAAATAAAAATATGACTTTAGTACTTTTTGGATATTCGGAGGTATAAGGGTGAAAATTCAACCTATTTTTGGTCCTTTTTTCATAAAACATTGTTTTTGGTTTATTAGCTTAAGTATAAGTATATATGAATACATAATAAGGGGCTCCCACTACGATGCAACTTTTTGGAATAGAATTTTTATTTCGTTAATGGGGAGGAAAAAAGTACCATAAGGGGTAAAAATGGGAAATTTGATTTTATTCAAAAACAATGATCCAATTAAGATAAAATGTTTAGATCTAGAAACACTAAATATGCTAATGGGGTGTTATATGTAGAGCCTGAAGTAAATTAGAATCTATAAATTGGTACTTTATCGTACTTCGACTATTATTTTTTTGAGTTTTCTATAAATTTGAACCTAGAAACATGAAATTAAGCATGTAGAGCACGGAGTACATTAAAATCTATAAAAGGGGACGTTTTGGTACTTTTTCGTTCTTCGACTGGTACTTTTTAAGTTTACTACAAAAATTTAACCTAAAAACATGAAATTAAACATTTTGAGTCTGGAGTAAATGGGAATCTAAAGAAGGGGACTTTTTAGTACTTTATCGCACTTCGACTGGTAGTTTTTGAGTTTTCTATAAAATTAAACCAAGAAACATAAAAATAAACATGTGGAGCCCGGAAAAAATTATAATCTATAAAAGGGCCTTTTTGGTAGTTTTTCGTTCTTCGTCTGGTACTTTTTAAATTTTTTATTATTTTTAACCTAGAAACATGAGATTAAGCATGTAGAGCCCGGATTAAGTCATAACCTATAAAAGGGGACTTTTTGGAACTTTTTCGTTCTTCAAAAGGGACTTTTTGTATTTTTTTATAATATTGATCCTAGAAATATGAAATTAAGCATGTAACGTGGTAATTTTTCATTCTTCAACTGGTACTTTTTCAGTTTTCTATTAGAGACTTGAGTGAATAAAAATTTAAACTGAAGTATTTTCTGGTACTTTTTCGTTCTTTTTGAATTTTCTATAATATTGACCATAGGAACATGAAATTTTATAAAAAAGTATCGTACTTCAGCTGATACTTTTTAAGTTTTCTAAAATATTGATATATATTGATATATAAACATAAAATTAAACACGCAGTATCCTGATTGAACGAAAATTAAAAAACGATACTTTCTGGTACTTTTTTGTTCTTTTACTAATACCTTTTTAATTTTCTATAATATTGAAAATCATCCTGATTTAATGAAAATCTATAAAAATTCATTGTCTGTTACTTTTTCGTTCTTCAACTGCTTTTTTTGATTGTCTGTAATATTGAGAATAGAATAGTAAAATCAAACTTATAGAGTTCTCTAAAAGGGGGCTTTTTGATATTTACAATAATAATATTTATTTTATTAAATTACGATGAGGGTAGTAAAGAACACTGGTTATAGCGAGTTAGATTTTAAAGTTCAAAAACTCTATTAACAAATAGTTATATGATGCCTAGGGCGTGAGCCTAGGGCGTTAAATAGTTAAAAATTTCTGTTTCAAATGCAAATATGGATGACAAGCGTAGAAATATAATCGTTTAAACATTTTGGAGATCTGGCTTTGCCCTCGGTGTGCCCATCAGATTAAAATTCAAAGCTTAATCTCAACAATACCTCATCTAAAAACATGTGAAATCATTAAAATAATACTAACAGTTTAATATGTACCGATTTATTTTCCTCTGTTCCCTGTACTATATCACTGTGCGCTATATCACATGTATAAAATAATCCTTTCTCTTTGTGCCAAGGCACAATATAGCCTTTACGGAATGGGCGATGCGGTACTGCTTTCGAAGTTTGAATACGACATTCAGTTACCAAATGAAATATTGGCGCAAGACTTCATTAGGCTAATGATGAATTTCATTACAATAGTTCTATATTAACATAAACATCGGGATGTTTTTCGGAATTTTGGTTTCTATAAAACTTCTTTATGTCAAATTTTAAAAGATAACATTTAGTTATTAGAGAGTTTTTGTTGACCATACCTGATAATTGTCTTTCAATAGACAGACTGTCTAAGATAACGAAACGAAATATTTTGTGGATCTGAGACCAACATACTGTTGTATTGCAAACGGAATGACAAATTTATCGATGGCGAGTACACAAAAGCTAACTTTAATATATGTGTGTAGGTATATTACCTGAAATAACAAAAAAAGTTTATTAAAGAGGGTCCCATCTAAAAAATAAACCTATTTTTACTATAAAATTAAACTTTATAAATAGCTTACTAAAATCGCATAGTTGATATAAAAAGTAATAATTATTATGTTCACCGTAAATACAACCAAACATTTTATTTTCCACTAAAATCAAAATTAAAACATTGACAACATTGTTTTGCACTTTCGATCTTACCGCATACAAAAATATCTAAATACTGGATATTCAAATTACGCCGAATCAAAACAAAAACAAATCAAAAAGAAGAAAACACAACAAATTCTGTTTCATATTTATCACATACAATCAATCCCACATGTTTACTACACAGATACTAAGTAAGTACACAAACAGCTGATGAGAATGAGAAAAGAAAAACAAATAATTTAAAAACACGCAACCATTTCTTTACTTTCCTTTATTCTATTTCCCACCCATACCATTGACACATTGGCCCACACCTCTCACACAATTCATTAGAAAATAACGAAGTAAACGAAAAACAACAAAAAAAATGAAAGAGTCAAACAACTAAATGAGAACGAAATGCTCCAGACTAACGGTTTAAGTACGTACATGCATGCAAGTCTTTTTGGGGCGAGCGTATATGAGTGTGTGTGTGTAGATATTTGTGTAACTGTGGTTGTAGTTTCAACTATTTGCCGAATAATTTTTCATGCAGACAGCAACGAATGTCTTCCACATTCAGTCTAAAGAGAAATATCGACACGAAAAGTAAGTTGCCTCCTTGTGGGCCACGATAAAAACGGGTGTTAGTGAATAATTTTATTGTGAAAATCTATATGTATTATAGAAAATCTTGGAAAACGTGGAAAATCCATATTGAAATGAATACTAACCGGAGTGCGTGGTGATTGCAAAACACGTGTGCTAAAAATTCTCACGAAAATCCTTGTAAAATTTATGAAAAATCCTTTTTCCTAGGAAAAATTTCAAAAATTTTCAATTTTCTATGAAAAATTATGTGAAATTTGAAAAAATTCATGATCCCAGGCCAGTGCGAGTGTTATTTTTGGCTTGGTGCGAGCTGATCGGCAGCGTTCGTTCGACGATGTGTCTAAATATATACACACGAACAGCTCACCGCGGTGATAATTTTGTGAATATTTTGTTTTTTTTTTATACTTCTGAAGAAGAAAAAGTCTGTTTTTTGAAAAAAATTTCAATTAGAAAATGAAAAATAGAAAAGAATCTTAAGAAAATAATGTGTGTGTTTGTGTGAATATTTGTGTATCCAACGCAACAGAAGCGGGTGTGCAGAGTCAGTGGCATAGTGAACAATACCAAAAGCCCCCCTTTAAATTTTAAAACAACATATTATGGTTTGGTTGCCATGGTGTTAAATAATTCATTTCTGAAAACTTGCCACAAAGAATTGGACCCTGGATTACTGATTCTTTGTGGCTAAAGTTTTATAAAATACAAAAACAGAAATCGCCTTGAAGGATATTTCAATGTTAACATTGAATTTAATATGAACCAGCTAAGATATCCAATGAAATCATCGAAATCAAGGATAATGTGATTAAATTTAAGATTTATGTATATTTTTGTTGTGATTCTTCTTGTTCTAAACCCCCCTTCCAACATTTTACCCATTGATTCTGTTATGAAGTAACGGATGAAAGGATAAACGAAAAAATATAAATAAATAAACAGAGAAAGTTCGAACTTTATAAATAATGGTTGTTGGTATGTGAAATACTCACAAATACACAATAGAATAGGAGCAGAATGAGAGTGTAAAACAAAATGAGCTTAATATGAATAAGGACTAAAAAGCTTTAGCTGTTTTACTTTTATACTGTAGATGTATGTATTGTTTAAACATTACTATATATTTATGAGTATAGGTTCCTTAGAAAAGTTTGAAAAGGACTGCTTATGGAAAGGATGTCGTGTATGTTATGTTATGTTTATTTTTTTAATACTTCTACTGTTTTGTAAACCTAAGAATTGGATAGATTTGAAAACGTAAAGCTTTTATTGTTTATAAACAATATAATATGAGAAATATTGAACAAATATTTTGGAAATGCAAATATTCATGAACCGCTAATGGGATATTAGAGATGTTTGATATAGTATTCGCTTATCAAATTTGATCCATTTTCGAATATATTGGAGGAAACTTCAAAATCGAAATACATTATTAGAATAAAGTTTTCTTCAGTATATTACTCCAGTGGTAGTGACTGCTGAACACAATTCAAAGTATTTTTAAGACCATTATTGACTTAATAGGGGTCCTTGTTTTGACTTCGGTTCAAATGCAATAGTCATTACAAATGAAAGGTTTTTCTTAACCCTTCCTACACGATATGCAAATAATGTTTCAAGAGAGATCTGAAATATAGCTTTCGTATAAAGCCCATTTTCATTATTAAACTTCCCAGGAAAAACTTTACTTACCCGGTAACCAGGCAAGTAATATTGGAGAAAAAGGGAAGTACTTACTTTTGGGGTGAATAACTAATTATTTTTGTTCGACAAGATTCAAAAAATAACTGGTTATAAATGAGCTTATACCAAACCTTCCCGAATTTAAACTCGTCTCTACAGTTATTTCTAATTTTATTAGTATATCCGCTAACTCAGTATCAGTTACTGGTATCAACTAGGATTCGAACCACAAAAGTTTTTTATTGGACAAATGCTGTAGATAATTACCTACAAATCCCATTAAAAAAAATTACAAATTTTTATTGGTAACGACTACTTATTACCATGTAATGTATTTAATAACTACATTACCTAGATTACTCATACCATAATTTAAAGTTTTTTTTTGCTGAGTTACTAATAATTAAAAATATTTCAATAACAGAAAAAAATTCAACCCCTTCCTAAAATTTATTTTGTCTACGACATTGTCCACTAAATGAAAATAAAATAATTCCCCAAAATCTGAACATTTTAAACAAATTTCAAGTGCTTATATTTATTTTTGTTCACAGGCAATATTTTGTCAAATTCTTTCTAAAAGAAAGTATGTACACATTTATTTATGTATTCTTTATAAAAGAACATAAATACATACATAAATATCCTAATACATATGTACACAATCCTACACATGTTTTGTATATTTGCACTAAAAATTCTGTCACCAGCAGCTAAATTTTGTTTAAACAAATTCCCATTTTAATATAATTAAATTTAAAATAGCAAAGGTAGATATTTCTCAACCTATTTGCAGAAAAAAAGAGAAAATTATCAAATATTTTACAACAATAATTAAGATTTCAATAGAAAAATGTATTACCCAGCAAATAATTTACTTTGAATATTAATAGTAAGGTCTTTCTTTAGGACACCTAGTGAAATGTACTTTTCAAAATGTTTCTTAGCTGATCAAGGATTTTCAGTACCAATATTATACAAAATATATTACGTTCAGTTCCATGATATATATAAAATAATTCTGTAAAGTACCATCACATCTGGGATTTAAGTTATCGTGTACTAAAGTTTGAAAAACTTATACATTACAGTTTTTCAGTTTTTTTTTAAATCTGCTGTAGTTTCTGAGATATCATCCTTTAAAGTTGACGGACCGACAGACATCGTTAGGTCGAATCAAAAAGTGATTTGGAGTCGGTTGAAACATACTTGTGGATCCAATATTTTTGCTCGTTATAAACAATATTTACAAAACAATATATTAGTGTAGGGTAAAAATGCCAAACAGTGAGTTTTCAAGTTGTTTATCTCGAAGAATAAAGAAGATATGTCAGATGTTAGGCCTTTATTTAAAAGTTGGCAGAATGGACTTTCAGACAGCATACGACATTATATAAAAAAGTTGTCTTGACGATGTTATAACGTCTCAAAAAGGGCCAAAATGGTGTTTTTTCAAATTACAGGATACCATATCTCAAATCCCAGCTGGGAAAATCATATTCGGATTTAGCACGACTCAATCCTTCAGAAACGTTGTCGGCCCAATTAATCGAAGCTCCCATTATCTGATATCAATATCTGTTAATACAATTCAGAATAAATCTAATAGATGAGTAAATAGGAATAAAATAATGTCTAAGGAGTCGGTCCAAAAGACCTATGGTTATAAGATTCGCTATAGTGCTTTCAGCAAACACCGGACATAGTAAGATCGTTCTAGAAATGTGTAAGGAATCGGAATTTGTGGGTCTATAACAAGTGATAACAGACGGAAAGGCTCGATCATGAACATATGAACTTTGCAAATTGTGAAAGAATTGAAAAGACAATTTCTCAAGAAATACAAAAAAAAGGAATCGTTTTAATGAAAAATTCCTTATTAATTTTAAACCAGTATTTCAAAATTAAAAAAAAACAAGTAAGAAATTATAGTCGGGCGAGGCCGACCATATAATACCCTACACCTTTGACAAAAATATAATGTGATTTAGTTGACATAATAAAGCATTTAAGTTGAATTGTACCTTGCCTGAGATATACATACTTAAGCCGTTTATGAATAAAATTGTGGACATTTAAGTGAAATTTTGATGGGGGCTTTTCATAGGGGCTAGGGTCATATGAGAACCTATTATTATGGAATTCGTGGGGGTCATCAAGTCTTGTATACAACTTGGTTATTGCAGCTTTTTGTCGAGATATGAGTATATTAAACATAATTATGAACTTAAAAGCCCTATTCGGCGTGTTCAGTTGTATGGGGGCTAGGTGAAATAATGGACCGATGTAAACCATTTTCAACAGACTTCATCTACGGTACCATAAAAGATCATGTGCCAAATTTCATTGAATTATCTCCAAAATTGCGACCTGTAGTTTGATTACAAGTTTTAAAAGCCCTATTCGGGGGTTCAGTTGTATGGGGGCTAGGTGAAATAATGGACCGATGTTAACCATTTTCAACAAGCTTCGTCTACGATACCACAAAAGATCCTGTGACAAATTTCATTGAATTATCTCCAAAATTGCGACCTGTAGTTTGATTACAAATTTTAAAAGCCCTATTCGAGGGGTTCAGTTGTATGGGGGCTAGGTGAAATAATGGACCGATCTTAACCATTTTCAATAGGCTTCGTCCCTGGGACAATAGAAGATCATGTACCAAATTTCATTGAATTATCTTCAAAATTGCGACCTGTAGTTTGATTACAAGGTTTACATGGATGGACGGACGGACAGACGGACGGACATAGCTAAATCGACTCAGAAAATGATTCTGAGCCGATTGGTATACTTTAAGGTGGGTATAGGACCATTATTTTATTGTGCGTTACAAACATCAGCACAAACCCAATATACCCTCCCCACTAAAGTGGTGTAGGGTATAAAAAGTAAGAAAGTATAGTCGGGCGTGGCCGACCATATGATACCATACACCAGTTATGAATATTAAATGTGATTTATTTTTCATAATAAAGCATTTATCTTCAATATTCCCTTGTTCCGATACATTTAAGCAATTTATGGATGAAAAACTAATTTTCTGAAAGAGGCTTTATATGGGGGCTAGGGGCAAATATGGACCAAGCCCGATAAAATTTTGTGAATATATTTATATTTACATAATATTTTATTGTACTGAATTTCATCGCGATATTTGTGTTTATAAGTTAATTTGGGACATTCAAGTAATTTTCTGAAGGGGACTTTGTATGGGAGCTAGGGTCAGATGGGGCCCGATGTTTATGAAATTTGGCAGGGTCATCAAGACTTCTATAAAACTTAGTTGTGCCGTATTTTATGGATATATC